CCCCTTCCCTCTTCTCACCCCCATCCTCTACGCAGATCTCACCAAATACGGCTCGCACATCTACGTCCTCGTCCGCCGGGGCGAGCTCCGCGCGTCCAAGATCATGGCCAAGCGGCTCATGTCGCACCCCAAGGTCACCATCCTCTGGAACACCGTCGCCGTCGAGTGCCAAGGCGACGGCGACCTGCTCAACAACCTCCGGATCAAGAACGTGCTCTCCGGCGAGGAGCGCGACCTGCCCGTGAACGGCCTCTTCTACGCCATCGGGCACGAGCCCGCGACGGCCCTCGTCCGCGACCAGCTCCAGACGGACGACGACGGATACATCGTCACCGTCCCCGGCACGACCCAGACGTCCGTCAAGGGCGTGTACGCCGCCGGCGACGTGCAGGATAAGCGCTACCGCCAGGCGATCACCAGCGCCGGCTCGGGCTGCATGGCCGCCCTCGAGGTCGAGCGTCTGTTGGCAGAGGAAGAGGAGGAGCTCGAGGAGGAGTGGAGGGCGGAGGGCGAAGGCCACAAGCTGCCGGAGGACGAGGCGATGAAAATTCATTAGCGAGGTTCGGTTCGATCTCAGGGGGACATAGACAGTGTATTTAAGTATTGTAGCAGCAGCATACTAGATGGCAACGATCGCAAATTTCCGTGGGAGATTGGCCTTGTCGTCGGATTCGTCGCTCCGCACGCACACTTCGGTCTCGCAACGACACCAAGTTATCTTCAAGAATGAAAAAGGTATTAGAGTATAGAAAACATATAAACAATTCCGCCCCCGACAGGAGATATACATAAGCAAAGACGGGCCACGTCTTATACGCGCGTTATGGCCACTCAGTCCCATGATATCCACTCCCCGTACATGTTGGGCCGCTCCCCCCGGATGTACGACTCGAAGGTACGTTTGAGCACCGCGGACCACGAAAGATCTCGTTCGTCGTCTAGCACCGAGTCCTGGGGCAGCACGACCTCCGCAGGCGCGGGCACGGGGACCGTCGCGAGTCCGCCGGCGACGGGAGTCTTCTTCTTCCCTCCCGCCTGCGCTGCCAGCCGCTCGCGGGCGAGCTTCTCACCGCGGGCGAAGCGCTCGCCTAGGTCGGGCCAGTTCCGCCCCTTGTCGACGGGTTTCTCCCTGTTAAACGAGCACGGGATTCAGCGTCGAACGAGAGTATTACGAGCCTCGAACGTATCGCAACGTACCAGTTGTTGTGCCAGTGGTAGGCGTACGCGCCCCGGTAGAACGCGTCGAACGACGCGGCGCTCGCCTCGCCGCCGCTCCTGGCCGGCGTGTCGAAGAACTCCTCGAACTTGCTGTCCCAACTGTAATACGGGAAGGGCGGCCGGTCCCGCTGCTTTCCCTCCATGTTCAAAAAGTCCGGGTCGAAGAGCGCGTCCGGTATCCGGTACAGGAGCGGCTTCATGTGCGCGTCGTGGACGTACTGCGTGATCGTGAAGGGATGGAACGGGATGTCGCCCTTGTTCGCCATCGCGGTCTTGAGCAGGAACGAGCCCAGCGCCGAGTTCTGGTGCATCCGCAAGATCGCGGTGTTGTACCACTCGTGCACGGACCACCGCATCGCGAACGCGCCCTTCCAGCCCCAGAGCTCCTCCCAGTCGCGGAGGAGCACGTTGTCGACGTCGAGGTAGATCCCGCCGAAGGCGTGCGTGACGAGGAAGCGCGCGAGGTCGGACATGACGACCTGCGCCGCGTCGGCCTGTTTCAGTTCGACCATCGGGTCCGTCGGCGCGAGGCCCTCCGTGTCGATCTCGGCGGGAGCCATGCCCGGGTTCGTCATCCCCTCGCCGACCTCGGACGCGGCGGCCTGCGCGACTTTGGGCTTGACGACGAGCTTGCCGAGCACCGGGTGCTTCCGCCAGCCGTCCAGCTCCGGTAGCGCGTCGAGCCGCTCGGTCGTGTTCCACAGCTTGAACTTGATGACCTCGCTGAAGCGCGAGTGCAGGAAGGGCGAGCTCCAAGGGTTGGCCGCGAGCGTGTCGAACAGCTGCTTGCGCGCGTGCGGGTTCGGGATCGAGCCTGACACGCCCGGGTTGATCCACACCCAGAACTGGGGGCGGCAGCCGGGACGCGTGACGGTCACGTTCGCGGGGACGTCGAGCGCGAGGTTCTGCGTGTACAGATAGGACACGAGAGTCATGTAGGGCTTGTCCGTAAACGGCCCGGACCAGTAGATGTGGAAGATGCGCGGACGCTCCGGGTCGCAGTCGCCCTTGCTCTCGTCGAGGTCATGGTCAGATGCTCGGGGGTGCATGAGCATGCGCTTCGGGAGGTCCGCGATGAGGCGGGGCTTGGACTTCGCGAGAGGGTTGGGCGAGAGCTTCGGATCGTCGAGCCAGGGCGAGCGGGCGTTGGTGAGGGTAGTCGAAGATTTGTCCGATGAGGTCGGGCGGTTCTCTGAGAAGATGTATTTCCATTCGTCCAAGTTGCCGCGGCGGAGACGTGGGCCGTGGTCGAGACCGCCGGCGATGCGCATAACTTGCAAGCAGTCGCGAACATACTTTGGAAGGCTGAGGTCAAAAATAGGTGAATCAAGGATAACTGTGTGGGATTCACCTGATCGGTCGAGAAGTCGCAGAATTGGAGGACCTTGTCAAGGTCGACCGCCGAGCCAAGTATTGGGCGAGGAGGGTATGCAACGTCGGGTTTCTTGGGCTCAATGACGTGGTATTTTCTCGAGGGCCCGATGCCGACCGTGGCATTATCGATACCTTCTAGCAGGAATGGTGGTAAACCGGGATGTTGCCGTCCTAAAGGTCGTAGCTGCATGTCAGGGGAAATAGCGGGGTTGAATAGGCGGTGAGGGACGCCAATCTGCGCGGGTACTGGAGCAACGATCAGTATCTCTATTCAAACATGCAAGATACGATATACTCACTTCTTCGCCGTGTGGGGTAGTTACCGCTTTTGATTTCCCACTCGTACACCTCCCGAAGTTCATCGAGCCCGAACACAAGGGTCGACTCGTGTCCGGTCACGGCGTTCGCCACCGCCTCGCCCCAGCCCTTGCCCTCGTTCCGCGAGGCCGCGAGCTTGTGCCAGACCATCCGCACGTTGAAGATCATAAACAGACCCACAAGCACTAGAGCGAGTACCCCCCGCGGTTTGATGTTACGTTTTCGAAGAACCGAGGCGGCGGCAGGCGGTATCGGGAGGGGCACACGATATCTTCTGTGGCCGATGGCGACGGGTATGGTGGTGATGAAGTTAGACCACCATGGTGACGGCCCGGTGTGTAGAGGCCCAGTTAGTCGGTCCTTGTCGATGAAGGCGTTCGACCATGAGTTATGGGAGGGCAAGACACCGCTGCCATTGGTGTAGCGGCTTGGATCGGTCATACGTCGCGTCGAGCCTGTTTGCATCACCGAGCCAGACGTGTTTTCGTATCTGCACTTCCGAGTCTTAGAGAGACCTCGGAGAATACGTGCAGGTCCAAACGCACCGTTGGAGGTTGCAAGTCTCCTTGCCTTCCACGTAGCACCCGCTCCTGGGAATCCGGCCGCGGCCTTTTTGATCGCGAAGGGGTATTGTCGGATTAGCGAGGAAAATATCAGAATCGCCTTGTAGTGTTAGATGAAGGACATGCAGCAGGAGCGGCAGCTACGCTCAGTGCAGGCGACAGCGAAAAGCCAAAGTGTTGGCCACGACGGGGAGAACGACATGCGATGGCTTGGCGGTTACCTAAAACGGAAAGTTTGGGCGCAATTTCGTGGAAAACATGGCGCAAAATCATCGTGCGGTGCCCCACGTATCAGCCAACGCGGGATCTTGGCCTCGCTCTCCACTTGCTTGCTCATCTGTGATAATGGGACGCTGGCTCGTTGGCGATGCTCACGTCGTAAGGAATTTCCTCGAGAAATTCCATGAAACAACTTAGCCCGATACCTCTCGCTTGGTCCAAGATCGACTACGCATTTCCCGAGTCACTCCTCGACAAACTACATGTTAAACAATCCCGCCCGTCTCCGTGCACGTCAGTGGACCCAATCTGTGTTACCGGAGACCGCAAGGCTGAGCTTCTACGTCCGCCCTGGCCCGCTCATCGCATTTCTGGAACTCTGTGGACGCATACGTGAATTGACCATCTACCCACCGCTCACGCGGAGCCACATATACCTCATCCGCTCACCGTACGAAGGGTTGCATCGTGAAACTTGACGCATGTATAGCCGGGAACGCCGCCATCCTGTTTTGCCTTCCCGCATCGTCTGGACCTCCGTTCAAGATGCGATTTTCCCGTGGTGCGAGGCCCATGACCCGGTCGTAGACGCGCATCTGCGCTCGTGCTTCTGCCATCTTCATCCGATGCGTACGGAAGAACACTTTGCAGCTGTGACAGGACGTCTATCTTCCTTTCTATGCGCAGCGGAGATGTGAATCCCCTACATCCGCTCCGATGTGAATCGCCGGCGATTCGGTGGCGATTCTATTGGTCACCGAGCGCACCACACCTCTGCCCACTGCCTGGGCCACCGTTAAATCCAAACGGTTTATTCGCACTCAAGGTCGACCTTCGGTATCGATCTTTTCTGTGCATTTCCTCTCACGTATCTATCTTTGGCGACCCTCCTAGTTCGCGTCAGCCCATCGGTCTCTGAACTTCGGGCCGCCCTGCCTCCTCCCGGTCTCGCCCTCGCTCCGGATTGAAGTCCGATTTCGGCTCTGCGCCTGTGTAAGACGCGTGGATGGCGTGTTTAGATACTTTGAACGGCGATAAATAGGGCCGCGGGCGTACGAGACTTGTCTTGCACGCCTGACTGTCATCTTCGTTAGCGACCCCCCCCCCCGCCGTCCGCTCCATCTTCGGCCTTTGCGAAAACGCGATTTCGATCGATTCCATTGAACACTAGACAAGAAGATCCATCCTTGGCTGCTGGCACCGCGTGCGCTCCGATCGTGACAAACAGCACCCTCCTGCGTGAATATCCTACGCTATGTCGCCAGTGGGCAGCACCGTACTTGTCGCCGTACTCCTTTCCGCTTGTGAGTTCCCATTCTACTGTCCGTCCGAGGCTCTCTCGGTTTCCAACGTTAACCTTTGACGCGTGACAGCATTCCTCATCCTACTAATCGTCACCGTCGTCGGGATCCGATACCGCTCCTACTTCGCCGAGCCACAACCAGGCCTCGTGCGCACCGCGCCCATATCTCTTGATATCGCACGCGGTGATCCGCCTTTGCCGCCACCATACGAAACGGCGGGCGCGCCTCCGGCGTATCCGTACGAACTGGATGCGAAGATAGATCTCCCCGTACCGCCAGTCCCGGCTGCGATGTCCGGAGCTGGCAACGACGACATCTTACGGAACGCGGTTGATCGGATGCGACCATGGCGGACGATGGATACGGGGCCGCGATGCATGGTCTGACGAGCATCGGACGATGAAGTTGAGCATAGCGATGACAAGTGTGCTCGCCCGCCCTTCGTATCCGTCCGCAGATCACGAGGCTTCGACATAGCTCGACCCAGCCGACCCAGCCGATCGCTCCTACGGTAAACTTCTGACCCAATCCTACGACAAGGAGTCACATGGGGTGGTATACGTTCGCGAGAAACGAGATTAAGTACATGTATTGATAGCCCATAATGTAGGAAGACAATATCTATTGACATCTAGCTGCCTTGAACTGATGAGCTATACGCCTTCTGACTCCCCTCAAGGACGGACTTTCATGATTGGGCGCTGCTAAGAGGCGCGATCGAGCGTGATTGTCCGCGACTATTCTTTCTGGGAGCAAGTGGGTCAATACAGGGAGGACAAAACACTATAACGACATGATTGATCTTTATACACATGCCAAAAACCCCCGGCAAATTAGTGAGCTCATAATATCTGATGATCATATAGTCACACTACGTTGTAACATTTAGTAGGGAGCAACGGAGTAGCATGCCAAACACGTAGTTTTTGGAAGAGTCAGAATTCCCAGTGTCGCTACGGAAAGTCTGGACGTACTTATACATCAACGAAAAGGGAGCAGAAAAGTGGACACACCCGAACTCGAATCGGGGACCTCTCGCATGCCTGTGCGTGCTAAGCGAGCGTGATAAACCAGCTACACCATGCGCCCGTGCCTGACATCGCCATGGAGGTACTATATGATCGTATCACAGCACAATATCATCACCCTCGAAGGACCTCACCTACCATAGCGCGCACACGACCCCTTAACCGTTCTGTCTGCTGCTGATCTGATGGAGTTGAACTGGACGCCGCGACCCCCCGCGCAGGTTCAACTCCGAGGGGCCCTGGACGAGAATCCTTCCACGTTATACGCTCTCTGTTGTATATGACGAGGGCATTATGGCCCTCGGCCCTGTCGCCTCCGCCCTGCACGCGTCCGTCAGGAATGGTGCTATGATCTGGTTCCTGCACTCTCCGGGATCGTTCGAAGTTTTGGCGGGAAGTTGTGCAGACCAGTCATTGCTTTCGCCGGCGCAGACCCCTTTAGGGACCGCGATAGGATGAGAGCCTCTAGTGATCCCGTGCCTCGCACCACGATAAGCTGGCCGACGACCAGCAACAATCGGGAAACGGCGTTCCATTGTTTTTATTGTCCCTCTCCTAAAGTAAACCCTATATCCAATGTTATCAATTACACCCGTCGGCGCGTTCACGGAGACCAGGGGCAAGTCGCTTGGCCTCCGACGCCGGCAGTTAAGAAGGTGAAATCGCCGTTCTCATCAACGTAGAAGCAGTCCTCCAGACGGATTCCGACCTGCAGTCCTTGTCAAACTTCGGCCCACGATAGTGTTGTCGAAAGCGAACGTTACCTTGCCCTCGATGTAGATCCCGGGTTCGTTCGTGAAGGTGTGGCCGATTTGGATCACCTGCAGGCACGCTGTCAGCACGGTCTCTGGCATATCGATCCCAGCACGCACGTCGGAGCTTCCGCCGCGGAGGTAGGGTTGTTCGTGGACCTCGAGTCCGATACCTGGCGCGAGGCGCGTTCAATCGAGAGCACTAGCCAGACGTGCGGGAGAGCACACACCGTGTCCGAGCCGATGGGTGAAGTACCTCCCGTACCCGCCGTCCTCGATGACGGCCCGAGCGGCTTCGTCGACCTCCCGAGTGATGGTCCCGTTCTTGAACGTCGACGCCTTCGTCTGCGCCGCGTGCACGAGCTTCCACAGCGCGAGTTGCTCCTTGGACAGGACCGTATCTTTCAGCGCGAAGGTCTGGATGTACGGGGAACCCAGATCAGCCTCGTGCCATTATCGGGAGTAGCGGTGGGATGGGATACGAACCCTCGTCACGTCGCTGAAGTACGAGTGTAACCCTCCGCCGCAGTCGAAGAGGGCAAAGTCGTTCTTGCCCAGTACGCGGTCGGTGCCGCTTCCGTGCGGGAGCGCGGCGTTTTCTGCACCGCATCTGGGTGAGCCGTACGCACGCGAGTACGTGTTTCCAACCGTACGTACCTCCAAAGAGCACGAGAGAGTCCAGGTCATGGAGGCCCGCCGCGCCGAGAGCTGCCAGGATCATGTCCCGCGCCTCCGACTCGCGGATGCCAATGTACATCTTATCGCGCACCTCGCGGACAGCGAGCACGGTGACCTGAGCGAGGACAACGTCAACAACGCCTCCCTAAGATGCGCGCACGCCAGCAGAAAAGCCTCGCGCACCTCGTTGACGCACTTCAGAATTTCCAACTCGGCGGGAGACTTGCGCTCCCGCAAGTACCGGATCTCCAAGGGCGCGGATTCGACGGCGACCGACTCCGGGACGGCGCCGCGCAGGCCGTCGACGATGAAGTGCCGAATGGACGCGTCGACGAAAATCTTCCCGCTACCACCCCCGATCGCGGAGACGGCGATCGCGTACGGGTCCGCCTCCTCCGGCCAAGCGGCGTACTCCACGCCATCCGCCGCGGGCACCTCGAGCAGCTTCGCGCGCGTCTCTTCGAAGTAAGGAGTGAGGATCGTGATCTTGGGTTGGACTTCGCCGAAAGCGTCAAACGCGGGGGAGACGATGAGCAGCAACGGGCGCTCGGAGAGGTGCCAGCTCGAGCCGGAGATGTTGCCGAAGAACTGGGCGTTTGCTCCGGGCTCGGCGATGTAGGCGGACGCGTTGAGAGACGCGAGCGTCTGCGCGAGCGCCGTCTGGCGCGCGTGGAACTCGTTGGCGGAGATGGGTGGGATGGACGCGCAGTGGGAGGCGAGGTGGGCGTAGGATTCCGGGGACGTCGCTGGGACCGTCGGTGTCGTGCGTCGGATGAACGAGGACGAGCCCCACAAGTAGAGGGCAGCGCAGAATGCGAGGAACAGGACGCCCTGCAGACGTTGGACCGCTCAGTATAGCTCATGTGTAGGCGACAGGTAGGGTTCTGACCAGCTTTGACGCTCTTATCTTGGATGGACCGAGCTTCACGACGAAGAACGCTTCATCGTCAAGCGCCTTTCCTTCGTCGACTGCAGGACCGACCATAGCATTCGGTATGGCGCTCTCCAAATCCTTACTTTCTGCCATGAAAGAGGACGGGATGGTTCAAGTTGAGACGAGCGGAATCCCTTTCCGGTTCATGCTGTGGACGAGTGCATGTGACGTGCAATCGTAGTCACGTATCCCTGCGTAGCGTTTGTCCGCGCTCATTGTGGAATGATGCGTTCTCCTCTTAAGCTTCATCCTGCTTACGGACCTACCTATGAGTTCAGAAAATGACACAGATGTGTTGGTCGCTGTTGTTGCTGGCCTTCTCGACTCGCCAACACCAAGCACCGAGATCATGCTGAACACACTGGTCGAATGTGATGGCAACGCGTCGCGCGCAGCCCCAGGCATCCTCAAAATGAGCAAACATCGAGCACGAAGAAGAGGAAACGCAAGTCAAATGTGATGAACGACTGGTTGAGTCAGGCCAACCCTTACCCCAGCGCTGCGACTTCATCCCCGAGTACACGTTCAGCCAGCGAAGACGACCTCCCCTCTGCTTTCTGGCTTCGGGAGGGCTGCTCCTGATGAAATCAGAAGGCACGGGCTGGTGCTTGAATTGGCCAAATGAATCATGCACGGTCATGCTCATGTACTCGTAGCTGTACTCCACTCTGCTTGTATACTCTGTGTCGTCGTTGCAGGTTTGCGACGAAAACCCAAAATTAGTTCAAGGAAAATCTTGATGCTACACCGCCAGTTCGGTCTCATGTGGCAGCCAGCTGTGGCCGCTGTGGCGTTGACCTGCGTTCTCCGGATGGCTAACATGCCCATTCCATCCAGCCTCCAGAATTGATAGCCAATCACATCAGTGTGGTGCCATTTGGGCTGGCAGCGGTGTGGCTGAGCAGATGGAGGGCAGCTGTGAAGGATATCCGTGTCAATGCCTGGATCAGTCCGAATACAAATGAGCCACATATACCAGTCATGCCGCTCATGTACCAATTACATTGTGCACACATTCACTCGCGCATCCATGTATACATAGAAACAATATGTATTGCAGTATATACATGATGATGCCATATACACGTCAAATAGTAACACCAGGCAGTTGTTCGTCGACACCACATTGGAATGCATCCGGCACTTCGTTGAGCTCCTGATCGGG